TGCCTGCCTGTCGTCCGCCGTCTGTCGTTGGCTTTGTGTCTGCGGTGCCTGTGTTTCGGTTCTATAGATCAAAGATATAGTACAAGTACGTACCACATACATACATAGGTTGCTCCAGAAATACATATATATATTTACTAACTAGTGGAGGTGGAAATGGTGGAAGCCATGAAGGTTTAATGGGGGTTTAGGAAGCCAGTTATAAATGTTATTCAAATTACTCAAAATCTATTTACCTTATTCGTTAGAGATAAGAAAGGGTTTATAAAGGCAAAAGTTTATATAGGAAAATAAATACATAAAATAATGTTATGTTTGAAAACATTATAATTTACTATACATAAAATTGTAATCGAAGATATGGTCATTTTAATTTCAGTCAGAAGCTCAAAACGAGTGAAGAAATTGAAATACAAACTGTAACTATATATAACTTTTGTTCTTAGAGTGTTTTCTTTCCTATTTCCCTCGTTTTCCCGTCTTTAAGAGGATAATTGACATCAGCTGCACAACTCCCTTTTCCCTCGTTTGAACCAAGTGAACTAAATTAGTTTTGGGCTAAAATACGAACTTCTGTTCCGATCAAAAGAACAAAAAAACAACTCCAAGAGGATAGACTGGGTGGTGGTTTATCCACGAATCGAAGGAATTTCCTCTCTTGGGTTCCCATAGAGCGAAGGTGCTGACTGCGAGGACCAAAATCGAAGGAAGAGAGTCTGCGGATCCGGCAAGTAAATCACGAATAGCTTTGAAGCCCCGAAGATATGAGAATGTTGATTATTTACACGGACACAGGGCGAAAAGAAAACAGATCTGAGCTGAACAAAAACTAAGTTAACTCTTAGCTCTTCTTTTTTATTGTATTTTTTGTTGTGTTTTTTCCTTCTGGCCAAAGTGTGAAGTGAAATGAAATTTGCGAACTTTGCGCTCCGGCCCCTCTTTTCCTTGATTAATAACAATTGATAAGCGAAGGAGTTGTTGGCCCAGAGACCTCGCTGCTGGCTGATGGCGTTGATTACCGTGCCCAGACCTGGGACCAGGTTCCAGGCTCCTCCAAGCTCCTCCAAGCTCCTCCTCTTGCTTCATTCGTTGCCATCGCGATGGCAGGGAGTCCCGGAAACCCAAGGCAAGGTGGCAAAATTTTCGCGCGAAAATGAAGATTTCTCTTATCACAATGGCAGCTGCATTCGCTCTCTCTCCCTCTTTCTCTCTCTCTCTCTCTCTCTCGTTGGGCTGTGTTCACTCACGTTTTTCAATTTCTGCTGCTGCTTCTCCTCTTGATCATCCGATTGCTGAAATGCTGAAATTTGTTTAATTATATCCCCGAGGACCAGGAGGAGGAGCAGGAGGACCTTTGGAGGCTGTTTTTCAGTAGTCTCCTCTCTCACATTACTTTTGCCTGACTAATGAGGCTAAGGATGTGAGGGACTCGAGGCTAAGATGTTAAGAAGTTTAAGATTTCTAAATGCTAAATGCTAAATCATAAACGGATGTTAAGGGAGCTTAAGAATTTTCCTTCAATTGGACTTGGAAAAGGCTCAGGAACTTATCTTAAGCATTCAGCATTGAAATAAATATCTTATTGAACTATGTCAGTACTAATTATTAACTTGGAAAACGCTCAGTAACTTATCTTCAGCATTTATCATTAAAATAAATATCTTATTGAACTATGTTCAGTACTAATTATTAATTTAAAATGAAATGACGCCAAGTTCAGCTTAATTATATAATGGGATGTGATACTTTCGCGCCCCCTTAGAGCCTCCTCATTAGCCCATCTTTAAACCCACTCATTATACCTATACCGAGGAGGAGGAGGAGGTACTCTCCTCCAAGTACTTGTGCTCCGCCAGACGCACTGGCGACTTGGCTTGCTCCTACTCCCGCCTAGTCTAGGCACCTTTTGGAGTATTACCAGCACCATCTTCCTCCTTGATTTTCTTGTTTTTGGGTTAACTGACCCTGCAAACGATTAACAGCAGCGACGGCGGTCCCCGGACTTCAACCCAAACGACAAATGAACAAAGGGTCGCCTCCTCCTTGGTTTCTGGCCAAGATCGGGCTACGTACTACGTTCTCGGTTCCAAATTGTTCGATTGTTTATGGCTGCCAACAACGCCCACTGAGCCAAGTGGCGGCCAAGTGAGAAACCGGCAACAATCATCTGCCGGCTGATAAACTGTACCCTCCCCCTCTGCCCACCTGCAGGAGAGTGGGGTATGTGTGTGTGTGTGTGTTTTTGTTGTGTCGCTTATCAGCGAGGATCGATCGCAAAGGGAGAGAGGGAGAGAAGGGGAGAGAGACCCCAAGCCGAAGCCCAAGACGGCGGTTGAGCTGATTTAACAAATTGATAAACAATTGTTGGCGTTGGCCAAGGGGATCCCCTCCCTCTGCACCTGAGGGAGGTGTGCTGGAGGTGACCAGGAGTGAGGGGGGAGGGAGGTGGAGGCAGCTAAACAAACGATCGGGAAACGATCGCAGTTTTCAGCGAAAAAAGCCACTGCTGCATCATGTTCCCAGATCCCAAATCGATTTCGTATGCGAATGTGAATGCCAATATAAGCGTAGCCTTGGAATTCCGCCACGCACTGTCCGTGGAGAGGAGGGGGTAGAGCGGGGGATATGGAAAAGTAATAATAATAATATAATAGTAATAATAATAATACCAACACCTTGTTGAATATTTTTAATATGCATTGCAATGGGTTTTTGTCGAGGTTTATAGGGTTATTACCAAATCGTTATTATATATTTTAAAATTAGGTCTACTTGGAATAATATCTAGAGGAGGGTTTCTGTTGGTTATATGGGGGAATTGAAATATCGAATACTGTCACATTGATTGTTAAAATATCTATAATATTCAAAAGGCTCTTAAACTTTCAATCAGAAGATTCTAACTTCCGAAGGAAACATTTTCGACCCTATAAATCATATATATTCTTGATCAGGATCAACAGCTGAATCTTTCTAGCTTTATCCGGGCAAAATTTATTTTTTTCCAAATTTTTAAAATTTAGCAAATTTCATAAGGGTTACATCATTAAAATTGGCAAAAATATTGATTTTTTTACTTTTTAATTGAGTATGCAGATTTGTTAAGCTTGTAAAAACTAGCATAGGAAAGCTTTCCGAATTGAAATTAACCCTTTTTTGGGTTAGTTATGGGACTTTTAAAATTGGATTTTTCGAAAAAATTATCATTTAAAAATATTCATATATTTTAAACTTTATTGTAATCGATTTGCGATATGGTCCTAAAATGAAATTGCAAACTACAATACGCCATTGCGAAGGTAGCTTCCTTTCTTGTTTTATTATTTTGTTATGTTTTTGTTCTATTGTTTTTAAAAACTTTTTCGCTTTTCCATAATTAATAACTACCATCATCTAAGTGTGTTTCGGTTATAGCCTCACATGAAAGTCATTTTTAAATCTCTTTTTAAACCGTCTAATCTGTATTTTCTGAAAGAGATTTCCTTGCTCAGAACTCTTAGCATTTGCAACAATGAAAAGTAGGAGCGGGTGTTGCGATGGCACTCGCGAGGCAATCGCTGGCGGAGATCTGCTGCTCCTGCTGCTGCTGCAGCATCCACTGAGAGCTGGACCAAGAACCAAGAGCTGAGAGCTGGGATCCCGAGCTGAGGCTAATCCTCGGCAGAGGCAGCTGTCGCTGGGAGGCAGAGCTGGGGTTACCGGGGATCTTGGGGATACCGAAACCAAAACCAAAAGCCAAAACCCGAAAGCCATTGTTAGCTGTTAGTCTCCCGTTCGCACTCTATCGGCGCTGGGCCATCTTCCCTGCTCCCTGGTTCGGCTCCCTGCTCCCTGATCCCTGCTCCGGCTCCTCTGCTCCTCTGCTCCCAACTTATGCCCGGGACAAAACACTTTACGTGTGCGGCTTATCGCCACCCAATCGAAGGCAATAAATATCTTACAAATAAGCAGAATGCCTCGGAATGCCAGCGACTGGCGACCGAAGGGCAGGTGGCGGAGAGCTCCTCCTCGTCTGATTCCTCTAACTGATTGCTCACGTCCAGAATTGTGTGAATTCGTGAAAAATCGACGGCGGCAATTAGGGCGGTCCCGTCAATAGTCGTTCTTTTCTCTTTTTATTTTAAATTTTTATTTTGTGTGTATTTTTGGCAACAGCAGCAATAGGATTTGAGGAATATAAATAAGAGCGAAATAAAATACAAAATAAATGGAAATATTGCAACAGATTTCACAGGGAAATCAAAAGACTCAGGCAACGAACTTGATTTGCCATGAAATGCCAAAGATCTTGTCTTAACACAATTAATTAATTAACCTAATAAGAAGCATAATAAATCAAATGATAAACTTTATGATTAATTTATAATGAAATAAAATAATAAGTTTATCAATTATTTATTTACATTATAACAAGAAACCTAAGAATGAAGCAAACAATTGACAAACAAATTTACGAGAATAGTAAGCCACATTATAAACTAATTAATAAAGAAAACTAATTCAGTTAATATTAATGCCGCAGAAAAATAAAAGCATAATTCAGTTTTAAGCTGCTATTCTATGTTTTTAAAGTTTGGCTTCTCGAAGATGATAAAACTTTCAAATACTTTCTTGAAACAAGGCCCATTTTTATGCTATAAATCTTCTATTTATCCTATTAACATTAATCGCATTCTAATTAATATTTTAATGTATTTCAAATATTCAAGAAAACACATTCCCGTAACCAATTTAAATGTGTTAAAACGAGGCCCCAAGCTGTTTCCCCCTCAAGTACCTCTCCGCTTTCTTTTCTCTTTTGGCCAAATAGTTGGACCGCTCGCTCTGGATGTGCTGACATTTCAATAGCCAGCAATTGACAGGTCAACGCGCATTCTCTCCTCCAGGAGATTTTTGGAGGGGATCGGGATCGGGATTGGGATTGGGATCGGGATCAGTAAAGGAAGCTCTTTGGGAGTCGGGAGTTGGGAGTCGTGGCCCGCACGAGCAGGCAGGGCGAAATGTGTTCGCTGCCACGAGATGTCGAATTTCTGGCGAACCAAGGAGATGCAAAGCTGCTTATCCAGACCGACCATCTCCATGCCACATGTGTGTGCCATGTCCACGTCCACGTCCAGTGCCAGTGCCAGTGCCAGGCCGCCATAATCTCGGCCAGCATCGCCGTTGGTCGTTATAATATTTCGCCGTGGTCGAAAGCACACACACAGGACAGAGAACAAATCAGATGTCAGAGGCTCTCGGGATTTCTTCTTGGCCAACTTCGAACTTTTGCGGGCCCTAATCATCGGTGGCCACCATGAGCTTTTCCTTTGCTTTTCCACGTAACATAAGAGATGGCCACGCGGGATAAACAGCCTCCTGCTCCTCCCCCTTGACTCTTGTCTCTTGTCGCATTGTTTTCACAGCTCTTCTCCTTCTGGCCAGCGGCCACTGACCACTGACAATTTGTTCGATAATAATTGCCAAAGCAGCTGGCTTGACACATAGATTCCTCACGGACGGACGGACGGCGGCCTCTGGGATTCTGGGAAGCCAATTTGAGGCACTAAACTGCCATGTGAGAGGTGATCTGACCTGGGAAGCGAAAGGTTAAGGAATGCAAGGGATAGATAGAGGTCTCCAAAGGGGTCTAGGATCTTTGTGGAATCTAATATCATGTATATCAATACTTGAAGTGGACAAATTCTGTTTTATATATGGGAACATTAAAATAGATCGATAACAAAAATACAAATATTTAAAGCTTAATTATATTTCTATTGTAAATAAACTTCGGCTTCCCGAAGTTGATTTCCTTTTCTGATTGATTGATTAAATAGTTCAATAATTTTGAAATGCCATTCTCTTCTTTTCGATTCTCTTGCAGATTCCAAAGATTTGGCCGCTCAAGAGATGGGCAGCGAGGAGAAGGAGCAGCAGCAGCTGGAGGATCAGCTGGATGATGACTCCGGGGATCTCCAGGAGACCAATAATAACAATAATAACAACAATAATAATAATAATAACGAAGATGAAGACGACGATGGCCAGGATGACGCTGTGTTCGAGCAGCCAGAAGAGACTAATACCGCGCCCGATCAGGATTTAGGCGAAACGGATCCGAGGCAGGAGGAGCTTGAGGATGAACTGCCCTTGAACAGTCCCAGCACTCCGCCCAGGAGCAGCCCCTCCTCGCCGCAACTGATACCCAAGCTGGAGCAGCCTTCCACGCCGCCATCCGAGGCCGAACCCTCGCCCTGCCCCTCGCCTTGCCACACGCCCACCAGTGCGCCCAAGTTGCCCAAGTTGCGTCTGAACGCGCTCCTGGCCTCCGATCCCGCCCTCAAGCCCGATGCCAAGGAGCTGACACTCCCAGAGCCCCGTCTGCTGGCACCTCCGCCGCTGTCCATTAAGCCGGAGGCGCCGCCATCGCAAGCCGAGGGCCTAGGAGCGGAGCCGCTGATGAAGCCAGCCCGATTCATGTGCCTGCCCTGCGGCATCGCCTTCAGCTCGCCCTCCACGCTGGAGGCCCACCAAGCGTACTACTGCTCTCATAGGAATAAGGATGCGGACGAGGATCAGGGGGGCATTGACAAGTCGGTGACTGGTGGAGGAGGAGGTGCTGCCGGAGGAGGAGGAGGGGCCACCGGATCGGGAGGAGGAGGAGGATCCTCGTCGGAACCACCGGCCAAAATGGCCAGGACGGGCAAGCAGTACGCCTGCTCCCAATGCTCCTACAGTGCGGACAAGAAGGTATCCCTCAACCGGCACATGCGGATGCACCAGACCTCCCCGGCAACGCCCACCCTGGTCAGCATGCCCAATCTCATCCCGAATGGCATTCCACCGCCACCGGGCGTCGTCGTCGCCCCGAATCCGCTGGAGCAGGAGGCCTCTAGTCAAGTGAGTAAAGTGTTGTTGGGGTGCCAGGAGTCAGGAGTAAGTTCCCCCAGTCTAACCCCACCTCTAATCCCGCCAGCAGCAGACGGATCGCTACTGCAGCCACTGTGATATCCGCTTCAACAACATCAAGACGTACCGGGCGCATAAGCAGCACTACTGCAGCTCCCGGCGACCGGATGGCCAGCTCACCCCAAGCCGGACACATCTCCTGGCGGTGGTGGCGTCGTCGGACCAGGTCCAGCGTCCTCCTCCTCGGTCGCGGGTGGAGTCCCTGCTCCACTCTCGGCGGCTCCCGGCAAACTGAGTCCACAGGCCAGCAGGAACAACAAGACGCCAACGCCCGCCATGGTCGCCTTGGGGCATGCCGCAGCGGCTGCGGCGGCGGCAGCAGCAGCTGCTGCCTCCCTCCAGGCGCCACCGCACCCGCCGCCGCCCTTCCTGGCACTGCCCACCCATCCGATCATCATTGTTCCCTGCTCGCTGATACGGGCGGCCAGCTTCATTCCGGGACCACTGTAAGTAAATCTTTCCGAAACTAAAATATAAATACTTTGGCCCAGTGTATAGCCTAAAAAAGGGCTATCTGTTGGATTTATATATCCAAACTGGAATAGAATTCCCTAAAATGGGTATTACAATTTGAATATTTAACTGAAATTGTATATGATAATACCCTGCAAAGGTGTAAGAAGCGATGACTAACTTAAAAACTTTTGTGTCATATTCCCAGGCCCACTCCCAACTCGGGAATTGTGAATCCGGAGAACACATGCTTCACCGTGGACAATGGTACGATCAAACCACTGGCCACCGCCCTGATGGGTACCACCCTGGAGCCGGAACGACCCTCGGCACCGTCATCGGCAGCCGAAGTGCCAGAACCCAAGAGCAGTCCACCCGAACCCAAGCGCAAGGAGGCGGGCGGAAGTCGGTGAGTGGTGCATTTGCTTCAAGGATTAAGCAGGATTCACTAACCGCTATATCATTCATCTCCCTTTTAGAGAGTCCGCGCCCTTGGATCTCTCGCTGCGGCGTTCGCCGATCTCTCTGAACTCGCTGAGCCTGCGGCAGCGACACCTGCGCTCAGCTCTCCTGGATGTGGAGGAGGCACTCCTGGGCAGCGTGGGCAAAGAGATTGTGGAGGCCTCAGCCGGCGGAAGCGTGACTCCCGAGCAGATAGTGTGCGCTCCCTCGTTGCCCAGCAGCCCATCGATGAGTCCCTCGCCCAAGCGGCGGACCATCAGTCCCAGGAGCTCCGGAGCCGGCAGCAATGCCTCCATGTCGCCACCTGGACTAGGTGTGGTGCCCAGCCTGCTGGACATGCGCTCTATGCTGCCAGCGGACTTTGGTTTGTCCGAATCGCTGCTGGCCAAGACCAATCCGGAGCTGGCACTCAAGCTGGCCGCGGCGGCAGCTGCAGCGGCAGCAGTGGCCGGAGGAGGTCCTTCCCAGGCGCAGGCTAGTGTTGGAAATCCAGGGGGAAGTGGAGCCTCTAGTGGAGCCCCCAGCAACCCCAGATCTATGTAAAGCAGGGCGTATCCAAGTGCAAAGAGTGCAATATTGTCTTCTGCAAATATGAGAATTACCTGGCCCACAAGCAGCATTATTGCTCCGCCAGAAACCAGGAGGGTTCTGCCGAAGGGGATGCCAAGTCAGCTGTTTCCCCAGGAGCCTTGGGAGCCGGAGGTTCCAGCGTCGGAGGAGGATCAGAACCCGCCACATCGGTGGAAACCACACCGGTGGCATATCAGCAACTTATCTGCGCCGCCTGCGGCATCAAGTACACCTCCCTGGACAACCTGCGGGCGCACCAGAACTACTATTGTCCCAAGGGGGGAGCCACAGCTGGAGGAACGGCCACAGATCCGGTGAAGGAGAAGTGTGCCAAGTGCAAGACCCTGCATGAACTGGGCCTCCCTTGTCCAGCGCCGCTAACAAGTGTCCTCGCAGCACCCACAGCCAACTCTGGGTCCTCCTCCTCTTTGAACTCCTCCTCGCTAGCCGCCGCCTCCAATAGCCTGAACAAGTGTCCAGTTTGCGGCGTTGTGAGTCCCACGGCGGCATTGGCGAAGAAGCACATGGAGATGCATGGCACCGTGAAGGCCTACCGCTGCAGCATCTGCCAGTACAAGGGCAATACGCTGAGAGGGATGCGCACCCACATACGCACCCATTTCGACAAGAAGACGACCAGCGAGGTGAACGAGGAGCACTACATGACCTGCATATTCCAGGAGGAGGAGGATCAGGGTCAGGGTCAGGGTCGCGTAATCAGCCAGGAGCTGAGTCAATCGGCTGTCTCGCAGGACTCAGCCATGGACCATCCGGCGCAGTTGTTCAACTGCGATTACTGCAACTACGCTTCCACCTACAAGGGCAATGTGGTGAGTAAGAGCTCAGTCATCTCGGAGAGCTAATATATTAATGAAATTAAACATTTACAGCTGCGCCACATGAAGCTGCTGCATCCACACGTGGCCCTCATCAGCTCCCCCTCGATTTCGCCGGAGGGCAGGGATCAGGATCCTGTGATCTTGAGCTCCACAGCCAGCAACCAGCACTCCGAGGGCTCCAATGGCGAGGCAGCGAGGTAAGGATCCATGATGTGAATCCACTTGAAACTCTTGATCAACTCCGTTATCCCTGCAGCTTTCACATCAAGTCCGAGCCCTTGGATCCACCCTCGTCCACGCTGAGCCTGGTGCAGGAGAACAACAACTCATCTCCCATACCAACCCTGACGCCGCACATCAAGGCCGAGCCCATGGACATAGATGGCCTGACGGTGGCCTCTCCCTTGGGCGCCGCTGCAGCCGCTGCTGCCGTGGCCGCCGCCGAGGTGATGAAGAAGTACTGCTCCACCTGCGACATATCCTTCAACTATGTGAAGACCTATCTGGCTCACAAGCAGTTCTACTGCAAGAACAAGCCCCATCGACCGGAGGCCAGCGATAGTCCCAGTCCGAACCTCGGAATGGGGAGCTTGGGCAGTGGCATCGGTGTGGCCGGCGGCGGCCAGCAGAAGAACAAGGAGAACCTCCAGGAGGCGGCCATTTGAGAGTGCCAGCTGCGCTGGGAGGAGCAACGGAAGCAGCTGGAATGGTATTACAAATGCTTCTGAACCGAACCTAAAATCGAATCAAATCCCAAAACAAACACTATAACTAAGCCTGAAGCCACCTATAGTCGACGACAGTATTCCCGGAGAATCTCGCTGTCGCTGCTGACTCCTACTACGACTTACCCCGATCGTTAGATATATACACCATAAACACATATAATATAATAGACCATAGATCCTAGATATATACGCATAAACCGACGATGTGTTGGAACCCCATGACATATAATGCATGCCAAAGCTTACCACTTAGACGGAGAAACTAAATCGGAGAAACTACAAGTTTTGCCAAGGAGGGAGAAGAATTGTGGAGTAGTGAAGAGTGAAGTGCGTTGAGGAAGAGTTGGAATATTCCTATTGTAGAATCCATTATTGTATTGTAAATGAGTACATCAACTGAGTACTTATATTTATTAAGTGTGTGCGACAATAAAAGTAATTAATTTATTCAACTATAGCTCAGACCTGCAGTGTACGAGCGTTGGAAGAGAAAAACACAAAAGTATTCTGTGGAGAAAGTGCATTGAAGAAAATTCAATTATCATTTGGTAAAAGTAAATAGTGAGTATATAAAAACTTATAATTTTATTAAAATTGTGTCTTATTTAGTGGAGAATTAGGAGCCCTTCGCTTTACGTTGTGGAAAGATTCAAGAAAGTCAAGGCTAGTGGAAGGTGGTAGAAACGAATGTGCTTAAAAAAAAATTGGGAAAAAATTCATTTTTGCCGGACATAGCTAGAAAAATTCGCCTGTTGATGCTGATCAAGAATATATATGATTTATAGGGTCGGAAATGACTCCTTCACTTTCTCTTAAGCTTCTGACTGAAGGGTCAATACAATTTTTTAATCGATATTAACTACATTTTTATATGAAAATTTACGGCAAATCAAAATTTAAAAATCTTATAACTAAGCCAAAAATGCATTAATTTCAATTCGGAAAGCGTTCCATTGTTAATTTTTAGCAGGTTAATAAAACTGCGTACTCCATTTAAAATGTGTATTTTTGGCCGATTTTTGCAAATTTTCATGATGTAACCCCTTTCCTTTTTTTTCCGAAAATGGGAAATTTCGGAAAAAAATGTTTTTCGCCCGGATAAAGCTAGAAAGATTCGCCTGTTGATGCTGATCAAGAATATATATGATTTATAGGGTCGGAAATGACTCCTTCACTTTCTTTTAAGCTTCTGACTGAAGGTGCAATACCATTATTATATCGGAATTAACTATATTTTATTTTAAAATTTTACGGCAAATCAAAATTTAAAAATCTCATAACTGAGCCAAAAATGCATTAATTTCAATTCGGAAAGCGTTCCATTGTTCATTTTTAGCAGGTTAATAAAACTGCGTACTCCATTTAAAATGTGAATTTTTGGCCGATTTTTGCAAATTTTCATGATGTAACCCCTTTCCTTTTTTTTCCGAAAATGGGAAATTTCGGAAAAAAATGTTTTTCGCCCGGATAAAGCTAGAAAGATTCGCCTGTTGATGTTGATCAAGAATATATATGATTTATAGGGTCGGAAATGATTCCTTCACTTTCTTTTAAGCTTCTGACTGAAGGGTCAATACCATTTTTATATCGGAATTAACTATATTTTATTTTTAAAATTCTACGCCAAATCAAAATTTAAAAATCTCATAACTGAGCCAAAAATGCATTAATTTCAATTCGGAAAGCGTTCCATTGTTCATTTTTAGCAGGTTAATAAAACAGCATACTCCATTTAAAATGTGAATTTTTGGCCGATTTTTGCAAATTTTCATGATGTAACCCCTTTCCTTTTTTCCCGAAAATGGGAAATTTCGGAAAAAACATTTTTTCGCCCGGATAAAGCTAGAAAGATTCGCCTGTTGATGCTGATCAAGAAGATATATCATTTATAGGGTCGGAAATGATTCCTTCACTTTCTTTTAAGCTTCTGACTGAAGGGTCAATACCATTTTTATATCGGAATTAACTATATTTTATTTTTAAAATTTTACGGAAAATCAAAGTTTAAAAATCTCATAACTGAGCCAAAAATGTATTAATTTCAATTCGGAAAGCGTTCCATTGTTCATTTTTAGCAGGTTAATAAAACTGCATACTCCATTTAAAATGTGAATTTTTGGCCGATTTTTGCAAATTTTCATGATGTAACCGCTTTCCTTTTTTTCCGAAAATGGGAAATTTCGGAAAAAAAATTTGTTCGCCCGGATAAAGCTAGAAAGATTCGCCTGTTGATGCTGATCAAGAATATATATGATTTATAGGGTCGGAAATGACTCCTTCACTTTCTTTTGAGCTTCTGGCTGAAGGTGCAATACCATTTTTATATCGGAATTAACTATATTTTATTTTTAAAATTTTACGACAAATCAAAATTTAAAAATCTCATAACTGAGCCAAAAATGCATTAATTTCAATTCGGAAAGGATTCCATTGTTCATTTTTAGCAGGTTAATAAAACTGCATACTCCATTTAAAATGTGAATTTTCGGCCGATTTTTGCAAATTTTCATGATGTAACCCCTTTCCTTTTTTCCCGAAAATGGGAAATTTCGGGAAAAAATTTTTTCGCCCGGATAAAGCTAGAAAGATTCGCCTGTTGATGCTGATCAAGAATATATATGATTTATAGGGTCGGAAATGACTCCTTCACTTTCTTTTAAGCTTCTGACTGAATGTGCAATACCATTTTTATATCGGAATTAACTATATTTTATTTTTAAAATTTTACGACAAATCAAAATTTAAAAATCTCATAACTGAGCCAAAAATGCATTAATTTCAATTCGGAAAGCGTTCCATTGTTCATTTTTAGCAGGTTAATAAAACTGCATACTCCATTTAAAATGTGAATTTTCGGCCGATTTTTGCAAATTTTCATGATGTAACCCCTTTCCTTTTTTCCCGAAAATGGGAAATTTCGGAAAAAAATTTTTTCGCCCGGATAAAGCTAGAAAGATTGCCTGTTGATGCTGATCAAGAATATATATGATTTATAGGGTCGGAAATGACTCCTTCACTTTCTTTTAAGCTTCTGATGAAGGTGCAATACCATTTTTATATCGGAATTAACTATATTTTATTTTTAAAATTTTACGGCAAATCAAAATTTAAAAATCTCATAACTGAGCCAAAAATGCATTAATTTCAATTCGGAAAGCGTTCCATTGTTCATTTTTAGCAGGTTAATAAAACTGCATACTCCATTTAAAATGTGAATTTTCGGCCGATTTTTGCAAATTTTCATGATGTAACCCCTTTCCTTTTTTCCCGAAAATGGGAAATTTCGGGAAAAAAATTTTTTCGCCCGGATAAAGCTAGAAAGATTCGCCTGTTGATGCTGATCAAGAAATATATGATTTATAGGGTCGGAAAGACTCCTTCACTTTCTTTTAAGCTTCTGACTGAAGGTGCAATACCATTTTTATATCGGAATTAACTATATTTTATTTTTAAAATTTTACGGCAAATCAAAATTTAAAAATCTCATAACTGAGCCAAAAATGCATTAATTTCAATTCGGAAAGCGTTCCATTGTTCATTTTTAGCAGGTTAATAAAACTGCATACTCCATTTAAAATGTGAATTTTTGGCCGATTTTTGCAAATTTTCATGATGTAACCCCTTTCCTTTTTTTCCGAAAATGGGAAATTTCGGAAAAAAATTTTTTCGCCCGGATAAAGCTAGAAAGATTCGCCTGTTGATGCTGATCAAGAATATATATGATTTATAGGGTCGGAAATGACTCCTTCACTTTCTTTTAAGCTTCTGACTGAAGGTGCAATACCATTTTATATCGGAATTAACTATATTTTATTTTTAAAATTTTACGACAAATCAAAATTTAAAAATCTCATAACTGAGCCAAAAATGCATTAATTTCAATTCGGAAAGCGTTCCATTGTTCATTTTTAGCAGGTTAATAAAACTGCATACTCCATTTAAAATGTGAATTTTTGGCCGATTTTTGCAAATTTTCATGATGTAACCCCTTTCCTTTTTTTCCGAAAATGGGAAATTTCGGAAAAAAAATTTTTCGCCCGGATAAAGCTAGAAAGATTCGCCTGTTGATGCTGATCAAGAATATATATGATTTATAGGGTCGGAAATGACTCCTTCACTTTCTTTTAAGCTTCTGACTGAAGGGTCAATACCATTTTTATATCGGAATTAACTATATTTTATTTTTAAAATTTACGGCAAATCAAAATTTAAAAATCTCATAACTAAGCCAAAAATGCATTAATTTCAATTCGGAAAGGGTTCCATTGTTCATTTTTAGCAGGTTAATAAAACTGCATACTCCATTTAAAATGTGAATTTTCGGCCGATTTTTGCAAATTTTCATGATGTAACCCCTTTCCTTTTTTCCGAAAATGGGAAATTTCGGAAAAAAATTTTTTCGCCCGGATAAAGCTAGAAAGATTCGCCTGTTGATGCTGATCAAGAAATATATGATTTATAGGGTCGGAAAGACTCCTTCACTTTCTTTTAAGCTTCTGACTGAAGGTGCAATACCATTTTTATATCGGAATTAACTATATTTTATTTTAAAATTTTACGGCAAATCAAAATTTAAAAATCTCATAACTGAGCCAAAAATGCATTAATTTCAATTCGGAAAGCGTTCCATTGTTCATTTTAGCAGGTTAATAAAACTGCATACTCCATTTAAAATGTGAATTTTTGGCCGATTTTTGCAAATTTTCATGATGTAACCCCTTTCCTTTTTTTCCGAAAATGGGAAATTTCGGAAAAAAATTTTTTCGCCCGGATAAAGCTAGAAAGATTCGCCTGTTGATGCTGATCAAGAATATATATGATTTATAGGGTCGGAAATGACTCCTTCACTTTCTTTTAAGCTTCTGACTGAAGGTGCAATACCATTTTATATCGGAATTAACTATATTTTATTTTTAAAATTTTACGACAAATCAAAATTTAAAAATCTCATAACTGAGCCAAAAATGCATTAATTTCAATTCGGAAAGCGTTCCATTGTTCATTTTTAGCAGGTTAATAAAACTGCATACTCCATTTAAAATGTGAATTTTTGGCCGATTTTTGCAAATTTTCATGATGTAACCCCTTTCCTTTTTTTCCGAAAATGGGAAATTTCGGAAAAAAATTTTTCGCCCGGATAAAGCTAGAAAGATTCGCCTGTTGATGCTGATCAAGAATATATATGATTTATAGGGTCGGAAATGACTCCTTCACTTTCTTTTAAGCTTCTGACTGAAGGGTCAATACCATTTTTATATCGGAATTAACTATATTTTATTTTTAAAATTTTACGGCAAATCAAAATTTAAAAATCTCATAACTAGCCAAAAATGCATTAATTTCAATTCGGAAAGGGTTCCATTGTTCATTTTTAGCAGGTTAATAAAACTGCATACTCCATTTAAAATGTGAATTTTTGGCCGATTTTTGCAAATTTTCATGATGTAACCCCTTTCCTTTTTTTCCGAAAATGGGAAATTTCGGAAAAAAATTTTTCGCCCGGATAAAGCTAGAAAGATTCGCCTGTTGATGC